GGGCCAGGGATGGAACCCGGGTTGGCCGTGTGCAAAGCAAATGCCCCACCTGTTTCTACTATTGTTTCAGCTCCAGTTCTAGCACTTTAGAGACTCAGCCGAGCCAGAAGTAATGTCTTGACAAAAAGAAAATTCCCCAAACAAGGTCTGCTGGCAAACAGAGGAAAAAATAAGGAAATCTATCAAAAAGATGCCACTAGCAAAGGCATCGGTAAAGTGGGCATGAGTTAGAGAAAAGGGACCTTGGCAAATAGAATACCCAGGCAAGTAAGGATTTGGGTTTGGAAAGGCAAGGACCCTGACATATAGCTGGGTGTCTCATGAATGAGATGTTCCTGATATAGGACAGACTCTATATGCACAAATTGCTGTGACATATGAACTAACCCCCGGTCCCGCCAAAAGCATTCAGTGCTTATGCTTTTTACTAAAAGAAGTAAAGACAAACTACCAAAAATATCAACCCCCAATTCAGTAAAGGAAAAGAAAAATACCATACCTTTGCTCCATTTGAGATAGGAGGAATAGAAAACAGCACACACACTGCACCTTGGAGAAAGTAGAAACAGTAAAATTGGAAATCTTATAAATGAGGTTGAGGACCTCTAGACTGGCTGGAAACTTCAATTTGCTTGCTAATAAATTCAATTTGATTTGTTTGAAGCCCGGAAAATCTCTTTTAAAACAATTTTGAGGACTTCTGAGGAGAACGCAGAGAACAGAGCTGGCATCAATACCTGAATACTGTCTGTTGATTTCAGACATATGAAAATTATCCTCCTCACTCCACCCTGTAGATCATGATCACGACCATCCTGTTGTTCGTCGATTGCCTCGAGCAGGCCCCAGTAACGTCTCCTTCGTCCTAGCCCTGAGATTTTTTTTTTAAAGTGCCATATTCAAGGCTTTTTCAGGATTAGGAGAATGAAACCCATCATTGTTACTGGCATTTGGCATATTGGGTATACCACGGGGAGTTTGCCAGACTCTGCCGTGTGGGCAGGTTACATTCGGTATCCTGCCAGTTTGTCCAAAGTAGGAATGAGATGATAAGATGTCACGCGGCCGCGTGCAGCTGCGCGCTTCTGGGAGCTGAGTGTGATAATCTCTGGATCCTGGCCGTTGTTGGGGTTACACGGCAGTTGGTGGGTGTAACTGTCTAGCTACTGGCAGGTCCAGTCCCAAACCGTGCAGGCTTAGAGATCTCAGCCCCGGGTCCCACACACCTGGGTTCCTCTGCCAGTTCTTTTATGCGTGAGGCTCATCCAAGTGTGTGGAGACTGGTCCCAGGATGGCCTTGGCTGGGGCCTGGAGGTCTTCAGCTGTTGGGCCCTGGTGGAGACAGTCAGGCAGATAAACGGAGATAAACACATATCCAGGCTACCTGCTGAATGTGTATGTATGCAACAGAGCAATTAACATAATACTCTTCTGAAAGTCAAACCTGTAGATAATCTATCCTTTTTGGCCCATTTTTTAAAAATTTTTAATTTTTTAACTTTTTTAAATTTTTTTATGTAGGAGTACTGCTATTTATTCAGCCACTGATTAGCTGATTGAATTGTGCATGAACTCCACCTTTACTTTCTTTTTTCATTTTTTATAATTTCATTTATTGAATCACCGTGAGAGCAGTTACAAAGCTTTCAGGTCTAAGTCTGGGTCATACAATGAAACACCCATACCTTCACCAGTACCCATTCTCCATCCCCAACAACCCCAGCATACCCCCATCCCACACCCTCCCCCTACCTGTGTGGCAGATGATTTCCACATTACCCTCTACTTTGGTCACATTCAATATTTTGACACAAGACCCACCATTATTATTTGAGATTTTACCCACTCAGATCTGCTGAAAAGGCAACAGTAGACAGTTTGTTTTCTATTGCTGGTTATGAATAACATATGATGTATGCGGCTGCAGTAGTGGCCGCACAATTTTGAAAATCTGAAATTTTAACACTTAAATCTAGAGGGATTTCTGCCAAAACCTGATGGGTTCTGAGATTTGCTCCTGAGTCTCTGGGGTCATGGTTGTTAAGCAGCTTGATCAGGAGCCAGAAAGGCTGTTCGTAGGCAATGACTTGGGGTCTTGTTGGGGTGGGGAGGACAACCGGCTCCACCCCCATCCCGTGAGGCCCAAAATGTCTCGTCACTGCGGGCCCAAGCCTGCCTGTTCAATGGCCTCTGGAGGATGATGGCCACGGAGCCGCCAGGGGGAAGCAGGCGGAGGGACAACACCCTTTCCCCCCTGGGGTGGCCTGGAGAGAGTAACCTACTGTGTGGTCTGGACACATTTCTGCCAAAAGCCGCTGGGTTTCGAGATTTGTTTCTGAGTCTCTGGGATCATGGCCGTTAAGCAGCTTGATCAGGAGCCAGAGAGGCTGTTCGTGGGCAATGACTTGGGGTCTCATTGGGGTGGGGAGGAAAGGACCGGCTCCACCCCCATCCCTTGAGGTCCAACATGTCTTGTCACTGCGGGCCCAAACCTGACTGTCCAATGACCTCTGGAGGATGGTGGCCACCGAGCCACCAAGGGGGAGCAGGCAGAGGGACAGCACCCTTTCCCCCCTTGTGTGGCCTGGCAACAGCAACCTACTGCAGGGACTGGACGCATTTCTGCCAAAAGCCACTGGGTTTCAAGATTTGTTTCTGAGTCTCTGGGATCATGGCCGTTAAGAAGTTCGATCAGGAACCAGAGAGGCCATGCCTCCAATTATATAGCTGAGTCGGAGGTTGTTTGTGGGTGTGTTTCCTACATACCTAACTTTTGGCCATTTACTTCCTTGGTAAACTTTGCCCCAAGTATTTGGGGTCTGGCCAAAGGCACAGCAGCAATTTGGGGGTATCTGGAAGTCTGAAGGCGCCATCAGGCTGCTTATGCACTTGCCTCACAGGTACAGATTGACCTGCTGGCGGCACCATACCCCCCTTAACTCTTTTTTTTTTAATGCAATTTGAACAATTGTTTTCTTTGATAGAAAAGGATCCCTATAGATTATTTCCTCCTGACTTCAAAGATAGAATTTCATTCAGCCTCAGTACTCCTGATTGCTACACTCTGTCCTTGGAGTCCAAAGCAATCCATTCAAGGTCCAAGCCAAGACCTGCTAACAATTGCCTTATTGGCTTTACTGTCTTGGTTTACTATTTGAACAATATCTTATTTCTGGACTGGACACTCATCCAGTTCTAGCAACAGGTCTACTAGTTTCTGAAGTTGACCAGGATAAAATAAAGGACTATGACATTTTTATTAGCACACCTAGTTTTTAATTTATTTTATCTTTATTTCATTTTACTTCCCTTTGGCTGTTTTATAACAGAGGTTGCACATGAGAGGCACTCACTGGAGTCTGCATGATAGATAGATAGATAGATAGATAGATAGATAGATAGATAGATAGATATTGAATCACCGTGAGATAGTCACAAAGTTGTTCATGTCAAGTTTCAGTCATACATAATGTTCCAACACCCGTCCCTTCATCAGCACAGTGTTCCTGCCACAAAGGCCCCTAGTTTCACTCCCACTACCCCTGCATCCCCCCACCCTATCTACATGTTGGTTTAGTCATGTGACTGTGGTCATCAGGGATCACACACACTTTTGCTGTGGGATCCCAAATAGCAAAAGTGGAGGAATGCATGTGGGGTAAATCTGGGAACTGAACTCAGGGCTCCCCAGGCAGGTCCCTCTGTCAAGTCATCCCAGGATTCCTTGTTCATTTCTTTTTTTTTAATTCACCTGAAATCCTTCTTCCTTTATTCCAATCATTTCCCCCGTATTTTTCTATTTTGTGAATTCTTAGAGAATATGGGACCTTGTAATTTTCATTTTAGAAAAGAAAGGTAGTAAAAATATACATTCTCTATGCTATCTATCTTGGCCTGGCTTCTCTATTAGAGTATCAGCTCCTTTAGTTCAGGGGATGTGACTTAAGACGTGTATTCACCGAGATGCTTGCAATGGTGTGTGAGCAAAACTCCAGTTGAGTAGGTTTTTTGGGGGTTGTTTTTTTTCTTTTTGGGTCACACCCAGCGATGCTCAGGGGTTACTCCTGGCTCATGCACTCAGGAATCGCTCCTGGCGGTGCTCGGGGGACCACATGGGATGCTGGGAATTGAACCTGTGTTGGCCATGTTGGCTGCGTGCAAGGCAAACGCCCTACCCGCTGTGCTATCGCTCTCCAGCCCTGAGAGCACAGTTTTAACCCCATCTATTCCATGTCTATCCCAGAACAGACATTCCAAGCAAAGTCTATTCTAGGAGAAAGAAGCAAGGATTTCAATGTGAGGCATATCTTCTAGGTAACAGCTGGATCTTTCCCTTCCCAGATACTAAGGTCTTCCTTCCCTTTTTAGCTCTTCTTTTATTCTCCTCTAGCAGTTCTTCTCTAAACGTAGAAGATATTACAGGATATTTTTAAATTGAGGTGTAACTTAGAATGAGGGACATTAGTCTTGAAAGGACAGCCCCATGGTTTCTACGTAGATATACCCCCAGGTACTACCTTTCACATCAAAGAAAAGAATTTTTCTAGTACTCCAGCAAACTTCTTCCCATCCAAACAGAATCCACCCTTCTTTTTCTTAAAAAAAAAAAATTAATTTGATCACCATGAGATAGACCATTACAAAGCTTTTCATGATTGGATTTCAGTCATACAATGTTCCAACACCCATCCCTCCTCCATCAGTGTACATTTCCCAGCACCAGTGTCCCCAGGTTCCCTCCCATCACCCCCACCCCTACCCCCTGCCTGCCTCTATGGCAGGTGCTTTTCTTCTCTCTCTCTCTCTCTCTCTCTCTCTCTCTCTCTCTCTCTCTCTCTCTCTCTCTCTCTCTCCCTCCCTCCCTCTCCCTCTCCCCCTTCCACTCCCCCTCCACCCTCTCCCTCCTCTCCCCTCCTCTCCTCTCCTCTCCTTGCCCTCCTTAATCACCCTTCTTATTACCTCCACAGGCTAGTCAGTCCTGCTCTTGAATTCCCCCCACCCCCAGGAGAGAGTACAACACAGTTCCTCACTACTACAAATTCTGCAGTAGAGTTTCCCACATTTTGGGAAATCTCAGGGGTCAGCACATCCTGAGTGCAATGAAGAAGGCTCACCCTGGGAAAACCACCTTTGTGATCTTGGTATCTCCCCTGCCAGGTAAGTAGGAATTTTATATTAATAAACTCATACCACTGTATGTCTGTCCCCTTGATCCCACCATTAAAAGGCAAAAGGTAAAGGTCCTCCCGTTGATCATCGATTTGCTCGAGTGGGCCCAGTAACGTCTTCATTGGAGACTTTGTTGTTACTGTGTCTGGCATATCGAATACTCTCGGTAGCTTGCCGGGCTCTCTGAGAGGGGCGGAGGAATCGAACTCAGGTCGGCCATGTTGGCTGCGTGCAAGGCAAATGCCCTACCACTGTGCTATCGCTCCAGGCCCCATCCCACCATTAATATTGTGGAATTTATCCATACCATTTTCCTTAGCAAGGGTATGTGTTTCTTTTAATTACTTATAATATTCTGTTGTATGAACATACTATATTTTATTTATCCTACTTTTGTGTGTTATTTAACTTGTCCCTTCTTTGAGCTATTATGATTAAATATACTATTAACATAAAGTTGCCCAGAAGGGAAAGAACAGATACAGAATGCTCTTTCTCATATGCGGCATCTAAAGAAACATAGTGTAGGATATAATGAATGCCCAAGGACAATAGGAACTGAGAAGTGGGCTACAGAATTGAGCTTATCGTGATGGGGGTCAGAGAGAAGGAGGTAGATGAAAGGGTGAAACTCTGGTGGAGGGTATGGTGTCTGAACACTATGCCTGAAACCCTATCGTTAACAATATCACAAATCACTGTGCCTAAAATAAAAATATTTAAATACAGAGACACATACACAAATCTTGGAACCTAGAAGCTCACTGCAGAGATGCCTCTGGACTTTGCAATAGGCCACTTTTGCTGTCCCTCCACCTGCCCCCTGGGAATCCCGGTGGTCGCCATTTTCCAGAACCCAATGAAAAGCCCAGGTACATGGGAGCAGAAGTGGCAAACACCAGGCCTGATGGGACAGGGGAGAGCTGGGTCTTCTCCTTCCCTCTGGCCCATGGGGCTCTGACATGATGCCCACAAACTGCCCCCAGCTACTTATTAAGCTCCTACACGACCATAGTCCAGAGAGAGACACACAAATCTTGGAACTGAACAGCTCACTGCAGAGATCTCTCCAGATCCTAATTATTAAAATTTTAGAATTCCTAGAGTGCGAGGCCACGGCATTATATGCTATCTATAACAAGCAGTACAAAACAAATTGTCTAGCATTGCCAGTTCAGCAGTTTTAAGTGGTGGTGAGATGGCGTCGAAATATTGAATGTAATCATACTAGAGAGAGAGTATTATGGAAATTGTCTGCCATATAGGCAGGGGCGCAGGGGCCATGCTAATCTTCTCAGTATCGTTCCAATTTTAGTATATGTGCTGCATATATATGCCTCTCAGAGAACCCGGCAAGAGTATCCACCCGCATAGGCAGAGCCTGGCAAGCTCCCCATGGCGTATTCGATATGCCAAAACCATAACAGGTCTCATTCCCCTGACCCTGAAAGAACCTCCAATTGTTGGGAAAGACGAGTAAGGAAAGCCTGCTAAAATCTCAGGGCTGGGATGAATAGTGATGTTACTGGCGCCCGCTCAAGTAAATTGAAGAACAACAGGATGACAGTGATAATGTGATACAGTGATAGGCAGGGGAAGGGTTGGAAGATGGAGGAGGGGGATACTGGGGATTTTGATGGTGGAAAATGTGCACTGGTGAAGGGATAGGTGATTGATCATTGCATGACCAAAACTCAAACATGAAACCTTTGTAACTATATCTCATGGTGAATCAATAAAAAGGGGGAAAATATTTAAATATACATGTTACTGTAACCATTCTTTTTTTTCCCAATTAAGTCACCATGAGATACATATTCACAAGGTTATCCATGGAGCGATAGCACAGCGGGTAGGGCGTTCGCCTTACAAGCGGCCAACATGGCCGACCCGAGTTCGATTCCTCCACCCCTCTCGGAGAGCCCGGCAAGCTACCGAGAGTATTCGATATGCCAGACACAGTAACAACAAAGTCTCCAATGGAGACGTTACTGGGCCCGCTCGAGCAAATCGACGATCAACGGGAGGGCCTTTACCTTTACCTTTACCTTTTATCCATGATTGGGTTTCAATCACACAGTGTTCCAACACCCATCCCTTCACGAGTGTACATTTTTCACCACCAATGTTCCCATTCCCCTCCGCCCCGCCCTGTCACCTTCCCCACCTGTCCCCCACCACACCCCAGCACTTTTCTTCTTTCTCTCACTCTCTTTCCTTCTAACCATTCTTGTGCATAACTGTTCGTAGTCATAAGGACTCCCTTTTATAGCAACAATTCAGTATATGGTGATAGTGTCTAAATATTGAACTTTGGTTGATCCCATCAACCAACTTTATCTTATTTATTAGGGGTGAGTCACACCTGGCAGTGCTCGGGGGCTACTCCCTGTTCCATGCTCTGGAGCCACTCCTAATGGTGCTGGAGGGACCGTGCAGGGCGAGGGCATGAACCCAGTTCTATTGCACACAGAGCATCGCCTCTGAGTACTGAGCTCTCTCTCCAGCCCCAGCATATTTTATAAAGACATTGAACCAATCTGAATTGCATAGCAAATACAAAAGTGTCCCTTGAAAGATCACAACTTCTTATACCAGACGTTTTGAGTGTTTTTCAGTCAGCAGTTAGTCAGCGTCATGCTGCCAGTTCCATGCCAGGCAGAGATAAACTTGTGGGATTGGTTTCTGAGATGCCACGCAGGCAACTGGTCAGCTCAACAGACATGGGAAGGTGCGATAGGAGGACCAGGTGTTTCAAGAGACAGCAGTGACATACTCCAGACAAAAGTGTCACCAGAAGGGCACGAGTTTGTGTTGGAAAGCACTTTCCTGAGTCCGAGTTTATTGCCGGAGCTTTATCTGTAGAGCACATTTAATGGGAACTTAAAGGAAGAAAGCAGAAAACCACCAGGAGAAACTGACACATGACATGCAGGGCTGTCGAGCCCCCCCGCCCCCCCCCCCCACCACCACCACCAACCGCCACCCCTGAGAGCCCTGGGCCCCTGGAAGAGCAGGCGGGGCAGTGGAGGCCTCAGCAGACACAGGAGGAAAGTCAGGCCTAGGAACAGAGAACTGAACAGCTGGAGCAAAGGCACCTCTTTCCACGATGGAGTCTCTTTAGGAAAGAAAATTGCATATGGATGTATATACATCTATTTTTTTTGCTTATTTATGTATTTTGGTTATCTTGCTCCACTTTGCATATATAATTGCAAAGTAGAGCAAAATAAGTCACGAGAGAGCCCAGCAGGAGACCCAAGTTCGATCCAACAGTAATCCCCAAAGCACCAAGTCAGGAGTAGCCCTGGAGTACCACCAAGTGTGGCTCTAAACCAAAACAACACGCAAAAAATAAAACCTAGATTCGTAAAACCAAAGGAAATGAAAGACCCTCCCCCAAAAACAGGACCAAGAAAGAAATTATTAAAAAATAAATTCATTATACTAAAAATAACAGAAAAACTCATACAGAAAAGCCCACATAAGAGGAATTCCAGATTAAAAGAGAATAAATGAGGAAGTGATCGAGCAGATAATGAGAATGCACTTTTGCAACTGAAAAGAAAAAAAAACAAATTTCATATGTAAAGGAGCTAGTAAGTGCCGGAAAGGGATACTGAAAATCATACTATATATATCGATATAGATTTACCACAAGGCAACAGGTGTGGAAAGGTTGAAAATCAAATCACTTATCTGCTGCCCTGTTTCTAACTTCCAGTCCATGGGTGTGAAAAAGGTTGAAGATCACTGTTACAAAGAATCTGATAAAATTTAAAGGGAAAAAAAATTCCTACAGGTGACTCCTGGGAGATTCCACATCAATGCCAGCCTCACTCTGCTCACTCCACCAAATCTCTCACCTGCCCTCGCTGCCCCAGCTGGTACCTGGCACAGAACAGAAAAGAAATCCACTGATGTCCCCACTCTCTGCTGTCACCTGTCAGAGTAACTCTGGGATTCCTGGACAGCACAGAGGGCGAATTCTACGTGGAACAGGAAATCAAGTGCAGGGATCAATTCAAGATCATTGAAGATACCAAATTAATTCTTTCAACTCTGTCTGCAGACAACCAGTTCCACAGTACCTCGTGCCCTCAGTCTTACACTGTGATGAAAAGTCTCTCCCGGCTCCATCTCCCCAAAGGACCACCTTCCTCTTCTGTGTCCTCTTCCTGACCTCCCCACTCCCCCCCTCCCACCATGCTCCACAGTGTCGCACAAGAACACCTTTTTCTAGGGCTCTGAGCACTGCCCTAAAGAAAATCTCCCTGACATGACTTTCTTTTCCACCTTGCCAGCATTCCTGTAACTCCTCTTGCTCCTCTCCACTCCCTGACTTCACTCCCTGACCCCTGTGCCATAAACTTCTCATCCGATCTTATTATCGAGACTGTGTCCTCATGCGATTGCAGAAATTAAAAGCTGAGTATGAGAGAGGGGCATTTTGCAGGCAGGATTTGCCGGGAGAGTTTATAAGAATTGCAGGACAGGAGCCCAACTTGCCTTGCGCAGGACTGGAAGCTCGTGCGTGCTCTTCGGTCAGGTTAGAGAAAACATTCACCACCCACTTCTTCATATTTCCATGGTATGTGGGTGTGAGGGGTGGAAGACTAATTTGAGTGGGTAGGCACTGGCATGAGTGGGCGGAACCGCTGAGGAGGAAGCAGAGGGCAGAGCTGTGGGCTGGGCTCAGGGTGCTGTAAGCACACAGAAACACAGACACAGCCCCCAAATGATCAGGTCTTACCCATCTCCATAAAAAAGGTAAAGGTAAAGGCCCTCCCGTTGATCATCGATTTGCTCGAGTGGGCCCAGTAACGTCTCCATTGGAGACTTTGTTGTTACTGTGTTTGGCATATCGAATACGTCACGGGGAGCTTGCCAGGCTCTGCCGTGCGGGCGAGATACTCTCGGTAGCTTGCCGGGCTCTCCGAGAGGGGTGGAGGAATCGAACTCGGGTCGGCCATGTTGGCTGCGTGCAAGGCAAACG